TCTCACCTCTCCCCCACACTCCCACAAGACCACTCACCTCTCCCCCACACTCCCACAAGACCCTCACCTGTCCCCCAGACTCCCACAAGACCCTCACCTCTCCCCCCACACTCCCACAAGACCCTCACCTTCCCCCCACACTCCCACAAGACCCTCACCTCTCCCCCACACTCCCACAAGACTCTCACCTCTCCCCCACACTCCCACAAGACTCTCACCTCTCCCCCACACTCCTACAAGACGCTCACCTCTCCCCCACACTCCCACAAGACTCTCACCTCTCCCCCACACTCCCACAAGACTCTCACCTCTCCCCCACACTCCTACAAGACGCTCACCTCTCCCCCACACTCCCACAAGACTCTCACCTCTCCCCCACACTCCCACAAGACTCTCACCTCTCCCCCACACTCCCTCAAGACTCTCACCTCTCCCCCACACTCCCACAAGACTCTCACCTCTCCCCCCACACTCCCACAAGACTCCCACCTCTCCCCCACACTCCCACAAGACTCTCACCTCTCCCCCACACTCCCACAAGACTCTCACCTCTCCCCCACACTCCCACAAGACTCTCACCTCTCCCCCACACTCCCACAAGACTCTCACCTCTCCCCCACACTCCCACAAGACTCTCACCTCTCCCCCACACTCCCACAAGACTCTCACCTGTCCCCCACACTCCCACAAGACTCTCACCTCTCCCCCACACTCCCACAGGGGACGGCACAGGTGCAGAACGTGACTCAGGGAGTGATCCTGGCGGGGGACTCCTTGGTGCTGCAGAAGGTGGGGCGCCGCCAGGCGGGGCAGTACACCTGCTCCGCCACCAACACCATCACCACCGCCACCAGCGACCCCGTCACCCTCAGGATCAAGTGTAAGTTGACTACTCTATTTTGTATGGTCGCTTTGTGTGTGTACATGCTTTGTACTAAACCTGGTGTTGTGTACAGTTCCTGCCATATGCTGAACCTAGTGTGTACACGATGATATATACTCGTGTGTACACTCTCTGTTAGTGGTAAACTCTTCTTGGTGTTCTACATCCATAGGTGTGTTATCTTCCTGGTGATCTATGCCCCTAATATGTGCTGTTCTTGGGGGGGGTGGGAGAGAGTTTTGACAGGACATTTCAGGGTGATTGAATGATAAACGTCGAGTCTGTCATGGAGCTCAGCTAGAACATCTTAAAAGGCAAGTGGGACGACTGAATGTCTTCCTCAGTGGAAGTCAGATGAACATCGCTCGATCCCAAGTCCACGAGAAGCATGCACAATCAATACGGATTAGTCGTGTGCCTTCGTTGCCATCCCTTGCAACATGCAAGCAAATACCATTAATCAGGATATATTTCTCGCCTTATAGATAAAACAGACACAAACTCTGCTTATGTTTAAATAAATCGTTCTACCTCGAGCCACAATTAACAGTAGCACAGTATCACTCGACAAATAGTTCCTTTGTACAACGATTGTGATATTTCTGTGTGAGTTTGAATTGATATGATATACCGTTTTAATGTACATAAATTGTGAATTTTTGCGAGAGTTTACTGTTTATGTAAAATACATTTATAATGCAAGTACATTTTGTGAAGAGACGTGCATGTATCTTAATGTTGTAATGCGGATAAGAAACAAACAAAGGGCTTGAAACAACAAGAAACAAACTTTAATATTAAATTTAATATTTATTTTTCTTATAAACTGGAAATAATTATTAATAAAATAAATCTTGCTGATAAAATAAATTCTAGTACTTGGAAATATTAGAAATATGTTTCCACTGCATGGCAGTTCACTTTAATAAAGTTAATGTGTTATATAAGGGGCCAGCACAACAGAATCAGCCCCAAATACTAAACTCTTCAACAGGAAATTCTTTTCAATGGCCAACATAATGGAGGAAAATACCTAAAAGGCATCATTTACATAAACCGGGGCCCATTATCGTCACTAACCAGAAGTACAGCTCACTTTATTCATCAAGATTAAGAAGACTGCAAACTTTCTCATGAAAAAACTCACCCGACACCAAACGAAATGAGTTTGGAGAAAAGAAAATCGTCTATATCTTTAAATTTTTACTTGAGGACTGACAGCCACAACGATCTCAATGTATTGACAAGACGAGACCATCACCATCAATGTAACATCAAAAGATTACAGCATTGGCATATCTCACTCACGTCCTATCACTTGGGCTGGACGGTAGAGCGACGGTCTCGCTGCATGCAGGTCGGCGTTCAACCCCCGACCGTCCAAGTGGTTGGGCATCATTCCGTCCCCTCGTCCCATCACAAATCATTATCCTGACCCCTTCCAAGTGCTATATAGTCGTAATGGCTTGGTGCTTTCTCCCTGATAGTTCACTTCCCTTCACTCTCATCCATCTATCAACAGCCAGCTTAGACTTGGCTGTTGATATTCTGCCAAATTTACATAGAGAGAATATACAGTGAGAGAATATACTCTATATTCAGAGTATATTCTGCCATCCAGAGCCCATGACAGAACTGACACCAAACTCCAACATAACACTTGTAACCGACATTGACCAAGTAACTCCACACCTCATCCTGCCTGGTGGTGTATAGAATGTCAAACCTACTATTAAGCATTAACTTTATTTCTCATTAGTTGTCGATGAGAGCTTCAATGAAGCGTATTTTTTTGCGACTCAAATCAGGTTCAGTAACATTGCAAAATTAACTCTGAAGAATTAGTTTTAAACGTTGTTCTCAAACAATGAACATTAGTTCGAGTAAATTTCATTAGGAGATGTACATAGCTGACCCCTTGATGGGAGGCGTCATAGCAGTTCTTCGTTTGGGACTGGTTAGATTGGTTAGTGTTTGTTGTTAACCAAGACCCTATGTTACTCTACCATGTTCCCCGTTAACCGTCTTCAATTTGGAGCTGTGTGTGAGAGCACGGTTGTTGCAAACAACACCCAGCTTGTACCTATATAGTTTGTGTGTGTAAAACAACATATATTCCAGTTTGAGGTCCGGGGGCATTCCATTTACAATGGTTTTTCAAGCAGACATAATTCCATTTATGCTACCCCTCCAACCTGTCCTCGTAAAAATAACGTCGCTTTTGGCCGTTTACCAGTATGGCCGAAAGTGGACACCCCCTCTTCGTTTTTTTTTATTTAACAAAGACCTGATCCACCTTCGAATAAACCCCAATACCATTCATCTCTTCCTTTCTAATGAGTTTTTCGTAAGAAACTATGAACTTAAGGCTTCGCTGAAGTTAAGGTAAAGAATATCACAATAGTGTCTCTAGTAACAGCCCGTCCTCCAAACAAAGATCCAAAAGTGATTCCATGCACCCGCCAAACCCCCTGTTTATGAATGAAAAGCGGTTTACACACGACTCACAACTACTGACGTTCGAACATATCCGGAACAAGTGCTTCACTGACGAATTTTGTTCGAATCACAACGCTATAAATGCTTCACCCACGTACTACAAATACAAATAATCGCCAACAGAACCTAAACACCTAACCTAACCTATCCTATGCCTATATATACACAATATGTTAATATATTATAATATTAATTTATACTTGAGAAAATTCTCGTTTTGAATGAACAGCATATTAAAATTTATGAATGCGTCTGTGGGGTCGACCGCTGAATGTAATGGACTTGAGTCGAGGACGGGTTGCTAGTAACCCGAGAAGCTCTTTGTTTAATCATGATGTGAATTTATCAAGAATCTATGGTTTTAACGACTATAAACGGATTGCTGTTACGATTACCGACTCAACGTCTTTTCCTTGAAAACTATCCTTAGGTAATTTGTAAATAGTTCCATGCAAGTGATTCCTACTCTGGTTCATCTTGCAACCAACCGAATAATATGCCAGATATAGTCTCTAACCACTTGGGCTGGAGGGTAGAGCGACGGTGTTGCTTCATGCAGGTCGGCGTTCAATCCCCGACCATCCAAGTGGTTGGGCAAAGTTCCTTCTTCCCCCCCCCCCCCCGTTTTATCCTTATCCTGACCCCTTCCAAGTGCTATATAGTTGTAATGGCGTGGCACTTCCCCTGATAATTCCCTCCCTATCCTCTTTTTTTCACTTTTGTATTCATTAAATACTCGGAAAATTGTATCGTCTGGTCATGGGGAGTTATTGGGATTTATTACAAAATCAAGTTCTGTATTCCTAATTGGTTGACAAGGCACAGATAATTAAGTGCTCCTGATTCATTTGCTATAACTATTAACCCTAGAAAGAAATGTTTGATATAATTATCGTCTTGGAGAATCGGTTACATGCAAGATATAGTTCATGAAGAAACAAGTTCCAGAGACATAGGAGAAAGTTACATGCACTTGGTAAATCTTTAAACAAAATTGTATAAAAAAAATGGGGGAACTAAAAAAATTAATTAAGAATGTTTTCAGTGCTTTAAGTGAGATTGTTGTGTGTGTCTACCTATTTGTACTCACCTACTTGTGCCTGCATGATCGAGCTCTAGCTCATAGACCCTGCTTTTCTAGCCGTTGGTTGTCTAATGTTGACATTTCAACTCCTAACTAATTTCCCCCAAAAATATTTGCTTTTATATAGTTATGAATGAAGAGAGCCTCTACAACCTGCTCCTTTAGGTAATTCCATTTACTCACTACTCACACGCTGAATGAAAACTTTCTAACATCTCTAAACATATCTGTGTGTGTGTACTCACCCACCTAGTTGTACTCGCCTAGTTGTGCTTGCAGGAGTTGATCTCTGGCTCTTTTGTCCCGGCTCTCAACTGTCAGTCAACAGGTGTACAGATTCCTGAGCCTACTGGGCTCTACCAATAGTGTCAATACATTTGAAACTGTGTATGGAGTCAGCCTCCACCACATCACTGCCTAATGCATTCCATCTGTTAATTACTCTGACACTGAAATAGTTCTTTCTAACGTCCCTGTGGCTCATTTGGGTACTCAGTTTCCACCTGTATCCCCTTGTTCGCGTACTGCCTGTGTTAAACAGTTTATCTTTATCTGGACTGCCAATTCCTCTGAGAATTTTGTAGGTAGTGATCATATCTCACCTAACTCTTCTGTCTTTTAGTGTCGTGAGGTGCATTTTACGCAGCCTTTCCTCGTGCCTCTTAGTTCTGGAACTAGCCTAGTAGCATACCTTTGAACTTTTTCCAGCTTCATCTTGAGCTTAAATTAACAAGGTACGGGCTCCATGCTTGTGCCGCATACTCCAGAATTCCTCTTACATAGTTCCTGAAGGCAGTTCTGATGTTAACAAGCCTTACATACGCCGCTGATGTTATTCTTTTGATGTGAGCTTCAGGAGACAGTTTTAGCATGATATCACTCCTAGATCTTTCTCTTTCTGTCCGTTTCATGGAGGACTTCATCTCCCATTCGGTGTGTGTGTTTGAACATTATTTTATGTTCGTTATATTTGTATCTACGTTGTGGGAAGGTGTTTATGTATAATTGATATTCCATGTAGCACTCTAATAATCACGATTACTACAAAAATACAATACAACACAATACAGTGTAATACAAAAAGTGTATAACTATTACGTTGACTTTTACACCAATAATTACCTTCCTCTCCCATCTCCCCAACGTCCCCAGACAAGCCGGTGTGTCAGATCTCTCCAACGACGTACTTCATATACGACAAGCCCATCAACGTTACCTGCTCCGTCTCTTCCTTTCCCCCCGTGCGTTCCATCCTGTGGCAGTGGAACAGCAGCAGTGAAGTTATCAGCACAGAGGTGACGAACGAGGAGGAACAGCAACGCACCTGGGCCCAGCTCACCGTTGAGCCCATTCAGACGAGGGAGGATCGAACCCTGACCTGCTGGGCTGTAAACGAGATGGGCAAACAGGCAACTCCTTGCGGCTTCGCTGTCAAAGTCGCCCGTGAGTGGATTGATTGAAAGTTGTCAGGTTGATGAGGATTGTTGGCCAAGGAGGATGCTTGACTGAAGATCGTGATTAGATTAAAGACGTCAAGGAATAGATAATAAACTGATTAAAGACGTCATGGAATAGATAATAAACTGATTAAATACTTCTGCGACTAGATTGTCTCTGGTTAAGGAAACTAGCGAATGAATGGTAATTATTTAAAAACATCGGTCAGTATAATTATAATATTAAATAACCGGTAAAAAACAAGGAATAAATGATAAATGGTTGAGTGCGAGTGAATGGATGAACGACGAGTAGGTCAGTGTAGGTGAATGTTAATTTATTTATAACATATGCCTAGACAGAGGCATCAGTGGATAAGGTCGGGTAGGGTGTTGTGGTGTTGTGAGCTGTCTCAGTGGTGTTGTGAGCTGTCTCAGTGGTGTTGTGAGCTGTCTCAGTGGTGTTGTGAGCTGTCTCAGTGGTGTTGTGAGCTGTCTCAGTGGTGTTGTGAGCTGTCTCAGTGGTATTGTGAGCTGTCTCAGTGGTGTTGTGAGCTGTCTCAGTGGTGTTGTGAGCTGTCTCAGTGGTGTTGTGAGCTGTCTCAGTGGTGTTGTGAGCTGTCTCAGTGGTGTTGTGAGCTGTCTCAGTGGTGTTGTGAGCTGTCTCAGTGGTGTTGTGAGCTGTCTCAGTGGTGTTGTGAGCTATCTCAGTGGTGTTGTGAGCTGTCTCAGTGGTGTTGTGAGCTGTCTCAGTGGTGTTGTGAGCTGTCTCAGTGGTGTTGTGAGCTGTCTCAGTGGTGTTGTGAGCTGTCTCAGTGGTGTTGTGAGCTGTCTCAGTGGTGTTGTGAGCTGTCTCAGTGGTGTTGTGAGCTGTCTCAGTGGTGTTGTGAGCTGTCTCAGTGGTGTTGTGAGCTGTCTCAGTGGTGTTGTGAGCTGTCTCAGTGGTGTTGTGAGCTGTCTCAGTGGTGTTGTGAGCTGTCTCAGTGGTGTTGTGAGCTGTCTCAGTGGTGTTGTGAGCTGTCTCAGTGGTGTTGTGAGCTGTCTCAGTGGTGTTGTGAGCTGTCTCAGTGGTGTTGTGAGCTGTCTCAGTGGTGTTGTGAGCTGTTAATATGACAGTCATTAGAGATTACAGGGGTCCGACTGGGCAACCCGTTCTCGCAAATTTAATAAGTCAATATTGACTTATTAAATATGTGCATAGGTGACATACTTAACATAATAGTTTCCCTTGAAAAGCTTCATAGAAAACACCGACCTTACCTAACCTACTTAGTATGTTAGGATAAGCATCTTGTTGCTTCGTAATTACAATTATTACCTAACGTATACCTATAATAGGTTAAGTAACAATTGTAATTACGAAGCTATAAGATGCTTATTTTAACATGCTAAGTAGGTTAGGTAAGGTCGGTGTTTTCTATGAAGCTTTTCAAGTGAAACTATTATGTTTAGTATGTCACCTATGCACGCAACTAATAAGTCAATATTGACTTATTAAATTTGCGAGAACGGGTTGGACTGGGGTGGTGTTTGTGGTGTTAGAGAAATTTAACACTAGAGAACATTTATAAGAGAACACAAATATCAGAGAACACGAGGGTCTAACAAGAGTTGTGAGTCGCATTTCAAAGAACATGAATAATGGAGAACGGGAATAGTCGAGTACATGAATTCTGGAGAATATGGGCACCGAAGAACATGAATAATCGAGAACATGAATACCAGAACATTGAACACTAGAGAACATGGACACTAGTGAACATGTACCTTACAGAATACGAGGGATCTAACAAGAGGGTGTGAGGATGTTACACAAAACATGAACACTAGAGAGCATGAACATCAAAGAACATAGAAACTTGATAACATGGACACAAGTGAACATGAACCCAATAGAACAAGAACACTAGAGAACCTGAAATATAGAGAACACGAGTCAAATTACGAGGTTTTGGGATGATATAGAGAACACGAACATTTGAGAGCCCTGTTCACAGAGAACACAGGGCTCTAACAACAACAGTGTGTGTGTGTGTGTGTGTGTGTGTGTGTGTGTGTGTGTACTCACCTAGTTGTACTCACCTAGTTGTGTTTGCGGGGGTTGAGCTCTGGCTCTTTGGTCCCGCCTCTCAACCGTCAATCAACAGGTGTACAGATTCCTGAGCCTACTGGGCTCTATCATATCTACAGATATGATGTGTGTGTGTGTGTGTGTGTGTGTGTGTGTGTGTGTGTGTGTGTGTGTGTGTGTGTGTGTCCACAGAGAACACAGGGCCCTAACAACAGTGTGTGTGTGTGTGTGTGTGTGTGTGTGTGTGTGGTGTGTGTGTGTGTGTGTGTGTGTGTGTGTGTGGTGTGGTGTGTGTGTGTGTGTGTGTGTGTGTGTGTGTGTGTGTGTGTGTGTGTGGTGTGTGTGTGTGTGTGTGTGTGTGTGTGTGTGTGTGTGTGTGTGTGTGTGTGTGTCCACAGAGAACACAGGGCCCTAACAACAGAGTGTGTGTGTGTGTGTGTGTGTGTGGTGTGTGTGTGTGTGTGTGTGTGTGTGTGTGTGTGTGTGTGTGGTGTGTGTGTGTGTGTGTGTGTGTGTGTGTGTGTGGTGTGTGTGTATGTGTGTGTCCACAGAGAACACAGGGCCCTAACAACAGTGTGTGTGTGTGTGTGTGTGTGTGTGTGTGTGTGTGGTGTGTGTGTGTGTGTGTGTGTCCACAGAGAACACAGGGCCCTAACAACAGTGTGGTGTGTGTGTGTGTGTGTGTGTGTGTGTGTGTGTGTGTGTGTGTGTGTGTGTGTGTGTGTGTGTGTGTGTGTCCACAGAGAACACAGGGCCCTAACAACAGTGTGTGTGTGTGTGTGTGTGTGTGTGTGTGTGTGTGGTGTGTGTGTGTGGTGTGTGTGTGTGTCCACAGAGAACACAGGGCCCTAACAACAGTGTGTGTGTGTGTGTGTGTGTGTGTGTGTGTGTGTGTGTGTGTGTGTGTGTGTGGTGTGTGTGGTGGTGTGTGTGTGGTGTGTGTGTGTGTGTGTGTGTGTGTGTGTGTGTGTGTGTGTGTGTGTGTGTGTCCACAGAGAACACAGGGCCCTAACAACAGAGTGTGTGTGTGTGTGTGTGTGTGTGTGTGTGGTGTGTGTGTGGTGTGTGTGTGTGTGGTGTGTGTGTGTGGTGTGTGTGTGTGTCCACAGAGAACACAGGGCCCTAACAACAGTGTGTGTGTGTGTGTGTGGTGTGTGTCCACAGAGAACACAGGGCCCTAACAACAGTGTGTGTGTGTGGTGTGTGTGTGTGTGTGTGTGTGTGTGTGTGTGTGTGTGTGTGTGTGTGTGTGTGTGTGTGTGTGTGTGTGTGTCCACAGAGAACACAGGGCCCTAACAACAGTGTGTGTGTGTGTGTGTGTGTGTGTGTGTGTGTGTGTGTGTGTGTGTGTGTGTGTGTGTGTGTGTGTGTGTGCCCACAGAGAACACAGGGCCCTAACAACAGTGTGTGTGTGTGTGTGTGTGTGTGTGTGTGTGTGTGTGTGTGTGTGTGTGTGGACACAGAGAACACAGTGCCCTAACAACAGTGTGGTGTCTGTGTTACAGAGATGCCGCTTCCACTATCATCATGCAGACTTGCCAACATCACAGACTCCTCCCTCAGTCTCTCCTGCCAGAGGCCAGACGTCGCCGCCGCCGGCACCACACTCTACAGAGCCGAGGTGAGTCTTCACAAGCTCTACAGAGTTAAGGTGAGTCTTTCTAGGTCTCAATAGAGCCATTTTGAGTCGTTCCACTGCTTTACGGAGCCGCAATGAATCATTCCAAGACACTAAAGTGGCGAGAACCGTCTTCCCTGGGCTCTACAAGGCCTAGATGAGTCTCCTCAGGACTCTACAGAAATTGATAAATTATATTATATAAGACTAAATAGGGCCCAGGCGGGAGGGTTCCTCCCAGGGGGCTCTTCCCAGGCCTCTACAGAGCCGACTGGGTTTTCTCAGGGATCTACAGAGTTAAAATGGGGCTTCTCGAAGCAATACAGAGCTGAACAGGGTCACATTAGAGCTCTATAATTGGGATTAGTGTTCCATTGGTACAACATTGATAGGACAGGCCGCCAATGGTGCATATTTGTAGAGAGACTAAACAACGATTGTACAAAGGGGTGAGTCTTGGTGGGTATACAAGAAAAAATGGTCTTGTATACAACCTATGAAACTTCTCCTTACCTACCAGGTGTATTACTTCTCTCTCATTCACTGCCAGGTGTACTACACCCTCTACGCCACTGACAGCTCTGCTACACTCTTCCAATACCTGCTGTTTACACATTCTCCTCAACTGCCATGTGTACTTCATCTGAATATTCACTTACATTACTTCCAACCACTTGGAAGTAATGCCTGAGATATATATATATATATATATATATATATATATATATATATATATATATATATATGTCGTACCTAGTAGCCAGAACTCACTTCTCAGCCTACTATTCAAGGCCCGATTTGCCTAATAAGCCAAGTTTTCCTGAATTAATATATTTACTATAATTTTTTTCTTATGAAATGATAAAGCAACCATTTTCTCTATGTATGAGGTCAATTTTTTTTTATTAAGAGTTAAAATTAACGTAGATATATGACCGAACCTAACCAACCCTACCTAACCTAACCTAACCTATATTTATAGGTAAGGTTAGGTTAGGTAGCCAAAAAAAGCTAGGTTAGGTTAGGTTAGGTAGGTTAGGTAGACGAAAAAACATTAATTCATGAAAACTTGGCTTATTAGGCAAATCGGGCCTTGAATAGTAGGCTGAGAAGTGCGTTCTGGCTATTAGGTACGACATATATATATATATATATATATATATATATATATATATATATATAAGTAATGCCTGATATAATTGTGTATATTGACTAATACTGTGCCAGGAATAATAAAAATCAATAACATACATTATGTATGTTATCAATAACATACTGATAACACCCGGCGGTAGAGCGACAGTCTCGTTTCGTGCAGATCGGCGTTCGATCCTTGACCGTCCAAATGGTTGGACACCATTCCTTTCCCCCCCGTCCCATCCCAAAACCTTATCCTGACCCCTTCCAAGTGCTAAATAGTCGTAATATCTTGACGCTTTCCCCTGAAAATTCCCCTCACTTACATTTCTCTTTTGTCAGGGATGATATATCTGTTCCATCGCTTCCTTTCCATTTCAGGTGTACTACTGTCCCTTTCATGAAAGGTGTAATATATTAGCTCTGTCTATGTATATTACACCTTGTCTCTCTCGTGGTAGGTGTACCGTACTCTGCTTCACTAAACAATAAACAAACACTATCCTCTAATATCCAGATTAATCGAAAGTACACTTCCTGCTAAAGGAAATTATGAGGAGAAAGTGCTAATTCAGCATGAACAAGCCGTACGTGGGCGTATTATGAGGGCAGGGATATGAGGACAAGGAGCTGGGATATGAGGACAAGAAGCTGGGATATGAGGACAAGGAGCTGGGATATGAGGACAAGGAGCTGGGATATGAGGACAAGGAGCTGGGATATGAGGACAAGAAGCTGGGATATGAGGACAAGGAGCTGGGATATGAAGACAAGGAGCTGGGATATGAGGACAAGAAGCTGGGATATGAGGACAAGGAGCTGGGATATGAGGACAAGGAGCTGGGATATGAGGACAAGAAGCTGGGATATGAGGACAAGGAGCTGGGATATTAGGAGTGGATGAAGAAACCTCATGTCAGGCACACTATTTTCTCTTGTCTCTCTGGTGTACAACCCTTTTTCATGGTAGGCATTGCACTATATTTGATCTTCCTGTTAGGTGCACTCTGACCTATCCTGTCACCTATAAGACAATATATTTATAGTAAGGTATACTGAAAATTAATGCTCTATACCTCCATAACCTCCAAGGCTTCCCCCACTGCCAGTTACACTATAGTATTTTCCTGGAATGTGAACTGCATCCACTTTTATTCAAAATTAGACTTCTACACTTTTCCCTGTATCAAGAAAGGTAGAATACACATTCCTCCTTTCATTCTAGATATACTAATTATTCCACTTAAACTTTTTAGCTATAATGCACCTATTACTTTCCCGCATAGTTGTACTTCACCCGCGATTTCCCTCGCCAGGTGTACTTCGAGAATCGAACACTCTTCGCCAACGTGACGTCCCACCGTCCCAACTTCAACGTGAGTCGCCTGGACGCTGAAACAAGTTACCAGATCAAGGTGTATGTTACCCACGGCCCCGTCACCTCCCAGCCTGTAGTGGTGTCTGCCTACACCTCCAGGACCTCCAGGACAGCTACAGGTACGTTACACTCCCTCCCAGCCTGTAGTGGTGTCTGCCTACACCTCCAGGACCTCCAGGACAGCTACAGGCACGTTACACTCCCTCCCAGCCTGTAGTGGTGTCTGCCTACACCTCCAGGACCTCCAGGACAGCTACAGGAGCGTTACACTCCCTCCCAGCCTGTAGTGGTGTCTGCCTACACCTCCAGGACCTCCAGGACAGCTACAGGTACGTTACACTCCCTCCCAGCCTGTAGTGGTGTCTGACTACACCTCCAGAACAGCTACAGGCACGTTACACTCCCTCCCAGCCTGTAGTGGTGTCTGCCTACATCTCCAGGACAGCTACAGGCACGTTACACTCCCTCCCAGCCTGTAGTGGTGTCTGCCTACACCTCCAGGACCTCCAGGACAGCTACAGGTATCTTACACTCCCTCCCAGCCTGTAGTGGTGTCTGCCTACACCTCCAGGACCTCCAGGACAGCTACAGGTACGTTACACTCCCTCCCAGCCTGTAGTGGTGTCTGCCTACACCTCCAGGACCTCCAGGACAGCTACAGGTACGTTACACTCCCTCCCAGCCTGTAGTGGTGTCTGCCTACACCTCCAGGACCTCCAGGACAGCTACAGGTACGTTACACTCCCTCCCAGCCTGTAGTGGTGTCTACCTACACCTCCAGGACCTCCAGGAATGTTATTCACCCGTCCCTATGCACTTCAGCCACTCCAGAACTCTTAGCTTAGAATCATTTCAAGGCAAATAAACGTACCAAACACTCCATCATTCCGCCTGTAAATAAAACATGATCTTCCCGGCACAGTCGCTACGTACCTCAAGGATTTAAGTGTGTCTTGCACAGTTAATGAGATAATATATTTTCTCAAGGTGTTAATGGGCTCTGACCTGAAATCATTTCTTTAACACAGTTTTCCTCAAAGCCTCAGAGCCCTTGAAATCAGACAGGGTCACCAGTCTCTGCTATAAGGTTACTTAAATGTTGCACTCGTAGGATACATCACCTGTTAATATAAGGTAACTGGTCGAGTTGTAATATAGAGAGTAATATATATTTTTTATTTTGTGTGACATATTAGTCAGAAGATTTACGGGCTATTCATGCCCGTGCTACCTCTTGGGTGGCTTAATCTCTATCAAACAATCAGAGATGATTCTTAGCAACCTTTAATTATAGTTACAAATTGCCTAGGTTGCTCTGAAAAAAGTTATGTCCATTACTAGGCAAATAAGTAAATCAATTATTTAGGAAAAGGTCAAAGCTTTATCTTCTTACTGTCTTAGTGATTTCTCCTCACCTCTAAGTTACTTTATCTCTAAGTAACCCTGTAATATGGACACAGACCCAGCTAAGATTGCACACTAACCAAAGAGCCAAAGCTCAACCCCCGCAAGCACAAATAGGTGAGTACACTCTCGGTTGTTCTCCTAACTGCAATAAACTTACAGAAGATCGACCTGCTATCTTAACACGCAGATATAAATAATAACCAATAATGGAAGAGTCTCAAAATTATATCCCTTCGTTAAATTATTTAACAGATAATAATTATCACTATACCTAATATAATTGTGTAAATTGACTAATACTGTGCCAAGAATAATACAAATGAATAATATACTGATAAAAGTATAATAAACAAATGCTAAATCAGTAAAAAACAATAATGTACTTAACAAGACATAATGACAGCCTCAAACTTGGTGAATGAGTCGTACAATCGTTTGTATTACTCATGTATATTACGTTGGTCACACACACACACACACACACACACACACACACACACACACACACACACACACACACACACACACACACACACACACACAGGAGGAGGTCCGGAGGTTCGGGAGGTCCGGAGCTAATGTACCCGAGCTGAGAGGTATGAGCTACGAGGAGAGACTACGGGAATTAAACCTCACTTCGCTGGAAGACAGAAGAGTTAGGGGGGACATGATCACCACATTCAAGATTCTGAAGGGGATTGATAGGGTAGATAAAGACAGTCTATTTAACACAAGGGGAACACGCACAAGGGGACACAGGTGGAAACTGAGTGCCCAAATGAGCCACAGAGATATTAGAAAGAACTTTTTTAGTGTCAGAGTGGTTGACAAATGGAATGCATTAGGAAGTGATGTGGTGGAGGCTGACTCCATACACAGTTTCAAGTGTAGATATGACAGAGCCCGATAGGCTCATGAATCTGTACGCCTGTTGATTGACGGTTGAGAGGCGGGACCAAAGAGCCAGAGCTCAACCCCCGCAAACACAACTAGGTGAGTACAACTAGGTGAGTACACACACACACACACACACACACACACACACACACACACACACACACACACACACACACACACACACACACACACACACACACACTACTAAGAGTAATTATGTAATCAATGCTATTTAATGCTCACTTCGTAACGAAATCAATAAAAAGAAAACCTCAACACTAAAACACCAGTTCAGGCATTAAGCGCTTCCCGATCCCTAAAGAAAACGTTGCATTTTGTTTCCGTTAGGAAGAAAAGGCGATACTCTATTTTTTTTTATTTTTTTTTTTACCGAGTGACAAACCGAGAGGTCGGACCGCAAAATGAGACATTAACACCAATCCTCATAAACAAATCCACAAGGGCGGTGACGAGGATTCGAACCTGCGTCTGGGAGCATCCCAGACACTGCCTTAATCGACTGAGCAAGTGCAGTGTCTGGGATGCTCCCGGACGCAGATTCGAATCCTCGTCACGGCCCTTGTTGATTT